TAGGGAATTTGTTGTTAAAGTAGTGAATTTGTTTCTGAAGCAGAGGATTTGTTGTTGTGACATATATCCTAACCTCAATAGTCGTCAACTTTAACGCTTAATATCTCGATTCGTGAGGCAGAACGACACTTTTTTCTACCAGATTCTTTCGTTTCATGCAAAATTTGAGGTGAAAGGGGTTTTCTTAATATTCACCCATTTTTAAAGCAGTGAATTTGTATAATTAAAGCAACGTACATGGATTTAAAACTCGATCGAGACAGCCGTTATTAAAAGCCGATAATCTCGATCCGGTGCAACTCGCCGGTTCGCGTAAAGGAGCCACGGCAATGTCTCGCATCATGCTTAGCGCCGAGACACTACCATGTCTCCAGATGATCGTGCCGTATCGAGTCGGAATGACAGGTATCTTAACCTCTAAAGTCTCAAATTTTAACGCTTAATAATTCGATTCACGAGGTCGACCGCCGCGGTTTTAGCCAGATTCTTTCATTTTGTGTGAAACGCGTCGAATGAGTACACTTTTATTAAGATTCTAAGGGGCGACTCGTATTCTAAATAATTACCGAAAATAATTCAATCGTCGTTATTTCTCACTTCACTTCTTTCCAATTGCTAACTTTTAAAATTTTCACGCAAAGCTTTATCCAATCTTATCATTCAAATCCCCAAAATACGATAAATACGATTACCAACGATTACTTTTAATAAAGGCCATGGCCATAGACATATAATGGCGGTCTATTTGACGCTACAAACTCTTTGAAACGTTTGAGCGACCAATCAGAACAAAGAATTTTACGAATTGACTAATCGAAGAATGGGTGCGTTCAGCAGAACGTTTGTTTTGCAACTGTTGTAAGTTTCCTTCGCGCTAATTGGATCATACTTTTAGATCTAGAAGAATGGTCCTATCTCAGTAGACAATCATAAAACGGTTGCAAAACTGTTGAGTCTGCTGAACGCAGCCAATGCTTCGAAGCGTTTGTAGCGTCAAGTGGACCGCAGCCAATAGCGAATTCGGTCACTTGCACCATGGTGTGATTAGACAAGGTGAAACGTTGCGCGTAACGGCGATAGCATACTGGAAACAACCAATCAAATTTGGGTCCAAATGCACTTTCCTGCGTATAATAGCAGTAGCATATTAGAACAGCCAATCAAATTTGGATTCAAATTCATATTCCTATGGCAACGCTTGCTTGTTGATAAGGGGAGAATCTAGAAAGGTAAGCTCTGAAAATTTGAAACTCTAATGCGGGGTCTACAATAGAAGTCGTAGAGGTCGTAGGGTCTTAAGTCGTAGAAAATTGACCAATCACAGTTGATTATTCTTCTCATATTCGACTGTGATTGATCAATTTTCTACGACTTAGGGTGAAATCACACGGTGCGGAAAAAGACTGCGGAATAGAGAATGCGTCATTGAAGCAACCAATCAACGCTATTCAGCACTATTCGGAATAGCGCTGATTGGTTGCTTCAATGACGCATTCTCTATTCCGCAGTCTTTTTCCGCACCGTGTGATTTCACCCTAAGACTCTGCGATTGTTACGACTTCTATTGTAGACCCCGCATTAGGTATCATCCTTTGAATTCTTTTATTAATCTTTCTACATTTGACATTACAATCTCCTATTATAAATGATTGAAATTCTTTTCCAATTAATTCCTACAAGTGTTTGGTTTCCGGCTCGATGGCAATATTTTCGTGAAAGAAAAGAATCGTAGTGTCCTCCGGACGTTAAAACAATTGTATATTAATGTACAGATGTAGATAATACATGTTCTTTTAATCGGTGTATGTTCTTGACTCTGGACATTGCATACATAGTGATAGATACATTTTCTTTGACATCAAAGAAAATTTTCCGTTTATGAACGCGTTTAAAACAGTACTCGGCAAAATATCTAAAAAAATGTGTTATGTGTGTGGTCGGATTTTCTATCATATTTTAGAATATTATCCCGTACTTCCCTCCAAACGCGTTCAATATGTTAGGTATTCGCTCTTGCAAAATAATAGATATTTAACGTTCAATTTGTTAAAGAAACTATATAATCTTTTACAATATTTATTTAATAAGTTTCTTTGTAATAGGTTAAGAAATATATATATGTATATGTATTTTGGACATGTTTTAATATTAGATGTACATTAATTCGGTGCCTTTATCAATGACTTTATCGAATCAAAACCGCCAAGTTTCTTCTGCGAGGGCATTCGTCAAGTGTCCGAAAGATGGTGTAATTGTAAAGTTATCGAAAACAATGGATTATTTCGAATATTAAATGTATACTTATCTTTGTGTGAATAACTTTGAATTATGAAAAATAGGCACTGAATTAATTTGTATACATAATATAATTACATTTCATATTTATATATTTTTTACATAAAATTTAAAAAATATTTGGTATTAACTTAAAATATTTATTTATAAAAACCCATTTATATATTAGACTTTGCAAATATATTTATTTATAAAATAAACAAATATTTTTGCAAACCCATGATATATTACCCGTTAATATATTATATGTTAATATATTATTTATATTAAAACTTACTTTTTTAGAAAAGATAAAAAAACTAAGAATATGTGCTTCTCGAATAAAACTTTAGTGACACACGTTACATATCTTTTTATTATTTCAACTCAAGTATAATAATAGGAGCCTTAATTTTCTTTCAAACAATATTTCTTATTATTCTTCGAAAAATACATATGATATCATCTTGATATTTTTACTTTTTCAAAAATATTCTTATTGAAGATCTTCCTATTCCAACCCAAGGAATGGCAGCTTTAACTCTCTGTGAAAAAATTATTATTCGTCGAAAAAACTATTAAAAATAAAAAATTAAAACCCAAATGTACTACCGTCTTTACTGACCAAGTTAAATTCTATCATAGTAAAAAGTAAAATCCAAGTGACACAATCTTTATTATTTACTCAACTCTAATGATATCTACCATTTGTATAAAAAATTTGATATCAACAACTGGCGCCAAGTTAAATCCCATACCAAATTAAATAAAGAATATAATCCAAGTAGTACTAGCTTTAATTTTTATACAATATAACTTAAGTATATATGTATCTCTGTATTCCTATTAAAAGTCTTCCAATTCTTTAATTCTTCTTTTTTAAAAGAAATTATTATATCACAATTCTCGGAATATTCATTCCGAGACATTTTCTCTTCCAATCAAAGTAGTAGTTATTTAATTCTCCTTCAAAACATTATTATATTACAAAATTGCGTTACATTACTTAATTTAAGATTTGACGTTATTGATATTAAATTTTTTATACAATGATAGATATCATTAGAATTAAGTAAATAATAAAGATAGTACTATTTGGGTTTGACTTTCTAATTTTAACTTGATTAGTAAAGTCAGTAACGCATTTGGGTTTTAAGTTTTGATTTTTAATAATTTTTTTCTAGAATCAATATCTTACGGTTTAAAGCTTATTATATCTATTGTTTTGGAATATACCTATTGTATTTTAGGCCCGATTGCATCAACATTACTTTAACTTTAAGCAAGACTTAAAACTCTCTTTTTAAAGCCGAGAGAGAGAGGGACAGGGAGGGGAGGAGAGGGAGGGAGGGGAGAGAGATTGCAATTGGGCAACTAATCTTGGACAATTTCTAGAATTTTCAGAAACATCATGCGCGTGTGTAAAATAAATACGTCTAAATAAGTTTACCTCACAACTGTGAGTTGTACTATATATGTATAAATTATTTCCTTTTTATGAATACATCATATAATAACATTAACATTTAAAAATATATTAATATATATTTACTGGTTCATTATACTCTTCAACACATACATAGTATAAAGATTACAATTGTCACTTAAATGTTATACATAGAATATATTTTCTTTTTGTCAAGACACATCATTAGAGTTTTACTCACGTTCAAATGACAAATAATCATAAGCGTTATCGTCTATTGACCAACTTGATGAAATGTATAATTAACATTGATAATCATTTTGATAATTCATGATATATACAGTTATTCAAATTAAAAAGGATAAGAAGACTAGTTTGCGTATAAACGTTTAAAAAATTGTTAGATGATCTTTTCGGAATATCTGGTGCAATGTTTTCCAATTTAGATATTATAGTATGGATGACTTTTCAACACAATTATAAAATATCGCAGGATTACCACAATCAAAAATTATTTCTAGTGTTAACAAAAATTTTGTTTGTGTCAAAAAGACTTTTTGATTACTTCATGCTGATCATATTAGACTGGAGCCTAATTGTTTGAACAGAAATATATCGTTCATTCAATTACAGTTATCCTTATCATGTTGCATCTATTGATCCGCAAGGCTGTTATAAATGTTATAATAAACAACCTCAAATTGCACTTCTGTCTTTTTCACACGTAAAAAGAGTACAATTAACATTCGGAATGTGTTTAAGGCGATACTTTAACATTGGGAATTCCGGTTTCTCCTCGCGCGAAACTCATCTCGGAAGTAATTCTCATATGCAATTGCTTAGAACCGTTTTCTCGCGAGTAAATAAATTCTACAGGCGTGTAACATTCTTATAAAACATTTCACTTAATTGGGAAGAACCGGCAGTGGTTTTTGCTTTTTTCCCCGTTATTTAATTCAAAATTTATTAAATTAACCACTAAAAAACCTGGGTAGAGTGATACCTTCTGTATTTCTCTATTATCTCTCTTTATTTGCTAAATCTTCTTTCCCTGTCTTCCCTCCTATTTTCTGCATCAACTTTTCCGTGAATTATATAAATATTCATTTGTATTTCTATACCACAATGATTATAAAGTCACATTTATTGAAATATTGAAGCGGCAAAGCTCGCTAAAAAAGAAAAAGAGGAAGAAAACGTTCTAAGGAGCTAAACTACAGCAGGAA